CTCAGAGAGGGTAGGCACATTTCCAGCAGTGTTTTTTAAATAGCTATTTATTCTCCAAAGATGCTATACTCATATCTTCTAATTTACTTTTAATTTTAATCTATCTATCTATCTATCTATCTATCTATCTATCTATCTATCTATCTATCTATCTATTGCTATGTTGGATGTAGGGCCCAGGAACTCATATATCCCAGGAAATCAATCATTCTACCACTGCATTACCAGGCCTGGCTTTTATTTTTATATGTAAATAAAAAACTTATTTCCCCCCTAAGTGCTTGGTCATTTAACGGAACAGTATTAATTGACAAGTCATTTTGGTATCCCCCCTTATTTTTAATCAGATGTATATGGTATCTGAACCGTTTCAATTTTAGACTATTCTTTTTTTACTATTCTATCTATATCTATTCATATGCTGTTTAGTGTATATTTTATTATGCTAGTTTTACAAAAAACCCCTTTAACATAAAATGTGCCAAATCCTACCAAATTAGACCATTTCGTGTAATTTCCCCCACTTGGCTAGCTGTCTTTCTTTCCTAAGAGCACTGGAGTCATTTCAGGAGATTCTCCTGCCCTAAGTCACCTTTTCTGCCTAGGAAAGGTGTTGAGTTTCTAGAACTTTCAAAGAATTCAGGAACCCCTCTCTTCCTCATTCTGCTCTTGTAGCCTCTCCCCAGCTAGGGGGTCAGGCTTGCTCCAAGCCTGCCACCCACTTTTGTCTCCTCCCTGCTTTGCCCCATAGCCCAACCAGCCCTCTGGTCCCAGACGGTATCTGCTTCCTGAAGTTACCTCCTCCTGACATTTCAGCCCTGGCCTAAGCCCTGCCACTCGTCCTTGAAGTGCTAAGGGAAATAAATAGGCAGAAGAAAGAGCGGTGATGTCACTGCTCTCTTACTTTAGATCAAAGGGACTGGCGACATCTTGAAAATACTCCACTTGGTCCTTTTAAGCAGGAACTAAGGGTCTTGTTCCCTTGGTTCCCTTGATCATTCATTGCATTTACTCTTCTTACTGAACAAATAGAGTAGGGACCACTTCACTTGGGCAAGTCCCTCTGTGACACAAAGGCGGTTCAGACAAGCAGGGTGACAGCCTACGAACTCCTAAGTGAATGTAGATCAAATATATTAATATCAGAAAAATGTCTACTTATGGATCCCAGTTCTCACTCATAGTTCAAGTGGAGCCAGCTGATCCTCAAGGTGGCTACTTCCCACACAAGTGTGTAAGGTTCCAGAATGCTCGAATGTACAACCTCATGTCCACTAATCCTTTCACGATCACGTGGTCACAAAATAGAGGGCATGAGAGAAATAGGTACAAATCTCGTTCTGACCATCTGTAAGTGACATATGCCAGAGGTTTATGTCTTTTCATAAGGGTTCTCTCTGAAACAGAGAAACCCAGAAAAACTACTGTGAGAGTCCTCACAGAAGCCTGGCAGTCACGGATGAGGCCCCGTGGCAATGGCATGCCCTGATCTCTGAGCAGCTCGGCAATAACACAAGCAGATGGCTCCCCTCTCTGGTCCTGGCTAAGAGCCCTCAGATCATCTATTCAGTCTAAATCCACTGCCAAGCACCTCTATTGACTGCTGCTGCAATTCAGGCCTAGAGATTACTATGCTGTCTCTTTAGGGACCCAAGAGCAGGCACCCAATCAAGTCTTTCCATCTTTGTACCCATCCAGTTCTGAATAAGCATTTGATATCTCAACTAACATTTTTTTCCCCTTGATGGGAAGGGTTTACAGGGTGGTGTTGTTTTGTGTATCAAAAACGCCCTTGAACTTGAATCAGGAGAATTTCCAGACAGTGAGACGGGTTGAGAATTCCCCCCAACAAGTAATTCAATTATCAGTGGTGTGTGTCAAAAGGATGCAGAGCAAAAACAGGATCCGAGAGAAGGAAAACATCAGAGGGCTCCTCTCAGGCTGTGCATTATGGGATGTGGGCTGATTTAGTGACAGGAAGAACAGGAAGTAGGAGGAGTCTTGAGAACAAACATTAAGCTAGCTGGACATGGTGACATACACCTGGGATCCCAGACTCCACAAGTTGAGGGTAAGAGAATGGAGAGTTTGGGGCCCACTTGAGCTGCATAGAAAGAGTCTGTTTCAAAAAAATTAAATAAGGAAAAGAAATAAATGAACATTTTAAAAATAAAATATTATTAAACTAATTAGGGCTTCCCAAGGCATCTGCTGTGGAAGACCCCACTGCAGACGTGTATGAAGGGATGCCAGCGGCTCTCTTGATCCAGGTGGCAGTGTGTATGTAGATTATCCTATGTCCTAAGAGTTTAAGAGTCACCTAATCCCAGCTCCACCTCTTGTTTATGCTAATTACAAAGGGACCTTGGTTCAAATGCTTGAGGATAAGATGAATGATTTTTAAACCACTTTGGCCTTTACCTGTGTGTTGAGCAGGGGGTGTCTTGGTACTCTAAAACGTAAAATTTGAACTTCTGAAATATTTGCTTCAGTCCTCTCTTAAACAGTCTGGGTCTACAGCCTCTGAAAGGGGTTGGGGTATCAACATCCTAGACCTTCAGCATGATAGGAGATTGTTTTTCTCTTTGGAGAGTTCTGTTGTTCTTTCCTTCCTATTTTGAGGAAGTGAGCTGGGGAGGGCTGGAGAGATGGCTCAGTGGTCAGGAGCATTGGCTGCTCTTCCAGAGTTCCTGGGTTCAATTCCAAGCACCCACATGATAACTCACAACCATCTGTAACTCCAGTTCTAGGGAATTCTGGCCACCCTCTTCTGGCTTCTGCTGGCACCAGCCACATATGTGATACACAGATGTATTCATGCAGGCAAAACACTCATACACATAAACATACATTTAGAAAAAGAAAGAGATTTGGAATCATTATTTGGGTAGGCAATAGTTCCTTTGAGAGGCTCTCCCAAGGCTGTCATGATCTTAATGGAATCTCAGTGGCAGTATTGTTCTGTGTGGTTCTAGCCCTCCAAATTTAGCTGCTAGTACCGGGATGGGCATCAGAGATAAGCAGACGTCTCCCTAAGAGGTTTGGACTGGTAGTGGGTCAATGATTTTTTTTTTAACCTGTGATCTGTGTCTATCTCTGTTTCCCGTCCTTGAACAGTCTAGAACAGTGGTTCTCAACCTTCCTAATGCTGCAACCCTGTCATGCAGTTCCTCACGGTGTGGTGATCCCCCAATCACATTTTGTTGTTACTTCATTAACTGTGATGTTGTTATGCAATGAATCATAATGTAAATATCTGAAAGGGGACCCCAAGAGGTCGTGCCTACAGGTTGAGAACCACCACTCTCGAGACAGGAAGCATGAAGGTGTGTGCAAGAGGGACGTGGATGAATGAAGGGCCCAGGGGGACAGCTCAGCCCCACCTGTTCCCCCACGCTTCTTACGCATACTTGAAGCTGTCTATTTATAGGAAAGGTTCCACTTTGCCTTAAACAGGATCCAGTTGCTTCCTGATCCTGTCTGTTAAAGGAGCCTCTCTCAGCGCCCTCCACCTGTGTGCCCAGGTGTGGTCTTTGCCATGAACTGTTTGTTCTTTATTGTGCAACTGACCGGTTTTTCAGAAGGTGCTGGGAATTTTCTTTCCCAGGAACAAGGAAAAAAGAATCTCAATTGGGGGTTGGTTTCCCATTGTCTGAAAGTGTGGGGCTTTTCTCATAAAACATAATATCTTATCTACAAGTCGTGCCAAGGGACTTCTTGGAAGAGGGGTTCGGTTTGAGACGGAGAGATTATACAGAAAGAACAATTTCCTCCGGTCTCTAGTACAGGAGAAGTGAGGCTTCCTGACTAGAGAGGGGTTATTTTTAAGGGCCTGTGGTCCATCCAGATCTCCTTCCCATTTCTTGAACACAGGTATAATTAAAATAAATTTTAGAAGATTGAGTCAAAAGCAACCAAATGCATAGAATTGTTAGCTTTGAGGTCAAGAAAAATTTGTTCATGACCCACCAACCCTACCATCCCAAGTCATCCTTGTCTGAGTCCCCTCCCTTCCCTGGGCCTCACTTCCACATTTGAAAGATAAAAAGGATGGGGCTGGAGAGATTGCTCAGCAGTTAACAGCAATTGTTGCTTTTGCAGAGGATCTGGGTTCAATTCTCAGCATCTATATGTATGCATCACAACCATCCACAATCCCAGTTCTAGAGAACCAAGAGGCGTGTACAGGGTCACATGCGTGCATTCCAGTAAAACATTTACATACATATAATTAAAATAAACTTTAAAATGGATAAGGAATATTAACTAGGTTGTCTTTGAAGTGGAAGGCATAGAATACCCTGGGAATGTCTGGCAACAGAAGCCTTAGATGACTTTGAGCATGGCTAGGCCCTCTGCTCCTACCTCCCCGAGATTCCAGATGAGATTACAATGGTGCAGAGGTCTTTCTCAGCCCCACTGATAGGGCTTTTGAGGAACATTATCCTAGGTGTAGCCATGACATCGGGTAGGGGAACAGACCTTTCCTGCCTGGTCAATTTGCTAGGTTTTCAGGCAGCTAGAGGTCTCTAGCCTACCACTTTTTAGTTTGGGGGCATCAAAAAGAAATCCTGACCAGAAATGGCCTACAGATGGAAAATGAAGCCAGAAGCCAGGGTGATCTCATGCTGGAGTGAATGAGAATAGAACTAGGGCCTGTGTGTACTTAATAGATGGTGAAGGAGAACAATAGGTATGTAAGACAAAGCAATCAGGAGCAGCTGGGACACCAGGAACCTCAGACAAGAGTGGAGAATGTCCAAAGAAGAAAGTTTAGAGAGGATGCTGTTAGTCAAGCCAAACACATCTGAAGATTAAAAAAGCCTCAGGGCCAAGAAGAAGGCATCACATTCTGTGGCAGGTCATAGAGATGGACTTTTATCCCCTACAATGGGGAAAACAGGGTGGTCTCTCTTTCTCCTAAGAGTTTTTCAGCATGGGAAGACATCCATGCACATTACTCTGAGATTTGTGCTCTGTGATAACCCTGCCTTTGGCCTGATTTTTACAGAGAACCCAAGCTAGGCAGGTAGTCACATTTTATTAGGATGTTGGCAACACACAGGTCTGAGCCATACCCCAGTGGCCAAGCTCCTGGTCCAGTATTATCCCATCTCCACCCCTGGAGACTCAGAACTCACAGACAACAAGACGCTTCTCTCCACAATTTTTGTCATTCCATTGGCCATTGGTGAAGATCTCCACACAGTTCTCTGATCCACCATTGTTGTTGGGCTCCCCGGGAGCCCAGTTAGAATAGACCAGGGACTCTCCTGTGGGGTAAACGAACTTGCCCTCTGTGTGCTCGTCTGTCATGCTCAGAAAGGCAGCTTTGTTGTACGCTGTGATCAGCTGCTGTATGGCGGTGTTCTCGGTAGCAGAACGTGGGGAGGCCAGCTGCCCTCCAGCCTGCCTGCACACCTCCTTGGCATCCGCAAAAGACTTTTCGGAGCCGCTCGTCTTGAAGATCTTGTCTCCAACGCTTCGGCCATCAGGGAAGATCACGGCTGAAAGAGGAGTGAAGGTGGGCTGAAGTGGGGACAGCTCCTCGCTACAGTTCTGGGGCTGTGAGGAATTTCTGCTGCAGCGGAAGCCTCCTCCCAACCTTCTCATGAAGGGTATTAGCGAACCAGAGGTGATGAAGCAAAGGCACTCCATTCCAGAGGAGTTCTAGTTTCATGGTGTACCCCATGAGTGGGTGCAATGTTCCCCCATTCACAAGCAAGCCTACCGGAGCTTAAAGAAATTAAATACAAGGCCACCAGTCTGGCACCAAATCTCAGACACAGGCGGGGAGACGGCTCAATACATAAAGCTCTTGCTACGGACATACGAGGAATTGAGTCTGGATCCACCACACCCATAGAAAAGCTGGACATGGGTAAGTCTGGAACCCCAGCAGTGGAAGTGGAGGCATGGAGGGCCTCACTGACCAGCCAACCTTACTAAAACAGTAAGCATCAGGTTTAGTGAGATGAGAGATCCTGCCTCAAAAAATAAATAACTAAATAGGACAAGTAGAGGCTGGAAAGATGGTTCAGAGGTAAAGGGGTTTGCCTCTTGCTGCATAACCCCGTGACCAGAGTTCAATTCCTGGAACCTACATAAAGGTAGGAGGAGAGAATTGACTTCACAAAGTTGTCCTCTGACTTCCAAGTGAGCACCATGGCACACTTTGCCACATAAGGCATGCACGCACGCGCGTGCGCGCGCACACACACACAATTAAACAAAATGAACCAATAAATGGGTAAAGAACACTTGACATCAACCTCCCCTACACACAGAAAGAGAGAGAGAGAGAGAGAGAGAGAGAGAGAGAGAGAGAGAGAGAGCTGTGTGTTGGAGTTAGAGAACAGTCAAGGAAAGAGTGGGGCACCTGAGAGTTGTGTCAAGTCCCAGGCTGGCCTCAGCCTCCTGGCCTTAAAAGTGCTGGAGAGAGGGTGAGATACATCTGAGAGGTGCATGTGTTCAGAGAATGTGGGCATGGGGTTAAAAGTGAAATGCAAATCAAAATCAAACCAGCTGTTAATGACTACCTGAGGCAAGACAAAGTCACTTCCCTTGCCACTTCCTTGACTCTGAAGTGGTGGGTCACATCACAAAACTTCATCTGAGTAACACGTCACATCTCTTTTACTCAATGGGCTCCCATCCCTGTGGCTTTTGTACCCATGCATGAAAGTCTGCAAAGGACTCTCTGGGGCTCTGGAGAGGGCTTGTACTCTGGAGAGGTTCTACAGAATGAAACTGCTCAGAGTCCAAGCTGTTCCCCGACACACTGTCTTTATTCTGATTGTCTGTAGAAGGATCTTGGGGAGGAGCCTCCATGGGCTCAGGATGGTACTTAGAGCAGCTCTGAACAGGTAGTGCAGTACTCATGTGCTCTCCCACAGGGTTTATGATCCTGGCTGAGCTTGCATGTGCTACACAGACATACCCACTCATCATCCAAAGCACATAGAAGGACCACATATGTCTTGATGTGTGTGCAAGTCTGTGTGTTCTTGTATCATACTTGGCATGTGTGTTAATGGATGTTGATTGTGTCGCTACAATTGCAAGTCTAGCCCTAGACTTAGTTTCTGCTCATTCCAATCCTAGACCTAGAGCAAAACTCAGCCAAATGAGTGACCCTAGCTCAAAAAGGACCAGAACACATCACTGACAGATTTCAATTGGATCCACGAACTCACCTTTCTTATAGCGAGAGAAGGAAGCTTCTAGATTCTGTAGTTGCCCTTTTAAGGCCTCCACCTGTTGATTCAGTGCAGCACTATCTGTGGAGGAGGGAAGGGAGAGAAATGTAAAGCTTATGCTGCAAACCTGAGAATAACTTCATCCCAGGTTCAAGAAAAGAGGGAAAGGGTCAAGGTGGGGGGCTTGCTAACTTCCATCAAGATTTATATCTGTAGGAACAGCTTTTAGCTGTAAATGTTTTTTTTCTAAATACTGTTGTGTGTGTGTGATGTACATGTATGTATGTTACACGTGTATGCGCATGTAATTCAAGAGTAATATTGGACATCTTCCTCCACCACCTACCATCTTACATATCGAGGCAGAGTCTCTCACTTGAACACCCTGCTTGATTACAGACTAGTCTAGCTAGCCAGTTAGCTCCAGGGATCACATCTCCGCCCTTATAGGGCTGAGATTACAGGCAGACTTCCATGGCCACCCACAATTTAGTGACCTGAACACTGGAACGCATACTTGTAAGGCTATCACTTCGTCTGGTTGATCCATCTCCCTGGTATGTTTTTGTTTGTTTTCAAGACATGGTTTAATGTAGTCTAGGCTGACATGTAACTCAGTGATCTTCCTGTCTCAGCCTCCCGAGTACTAGGATTACAAGTATGACCCATGACACCCAACTTCCCCTCAGGAATTTTTTATGGTCCCTAAAGTAGGCCCTGAACTTCAACTAAGTCTGAACCAGATGGCAAGCCAAACCAGATGGCATCCCGCCACAGGAAATATCACGACAACCCTATTCTTGGGTAGAAATACACACTCCTTATATATTTTTCACCCACTGGGTGGTTAGATACACAAGCCTGACCTATAAACCAGGAAGTCAGCTGTTGTCACCCATTTCCCATGGTCAGATAAAGAAATTACCAAGTTGCCTTCCCATATGACTTAGATAGTTAAGCCAGAACCTAATTGGCCCTCCACCTGTCTGCTGACCTTAAGTTCCATTTACCACCTGTCCTAATGAGGTCACCATGCCTAGCTGAAGGATGCTACATCACAGTGTGTGTGGGGGTCCCACTACCTGAAACTTCTGCCTTACCTGGAAGTCCACTGTCACCTTTGGCTCCTTTTTCCCCAGGAGTACCTCTGTCCCCCTTGAGTCCTGGGGGCCCTCTGGGTCCTGAAGCTCCCTGTGGACCCACAGCTCCTGCAGGGCCTGAAATCCAAGAATAAATGGCTGAGCCGTGTGCCCATTTCCCAGCATTTTCACCTCGTTGGACATAGTCTATCCTAATCCCAGATATGTAACCTTCTCACATACAGGCTCCCCCAGAACCCAGACACATGCCCACTCTGTGTATGGCTGTCCTTATGACACAGCAATCAACTTTGTATGTATATAATCCATGAAAAAGACTCCCCATGCCTTAAAACAGCCCTCTCCCTACAGACAAGCAGTCCCAGAGACCCCGCATTCACCCTCCTTGGAAGCAGAGTGCCTCCACATCCTAGCTTTGACTTAAAGGGGGAGTTGAAAAGGGGATAGAGGCCCTGGCAGCTCTCAGGAGACACAGTAGAAATCCATTCAGCCCCCCGTAGATTCATCACTTACCTGCTGCCCCGTCATTCCCAGGGGCTCCTGGCTCACCAGGGGCACCTCTTTCTCCTTTGGGGCCCACAGCGCCATTTGCCCCCGCAGATCCTTGCATACCTGGAGCACCTACGTCTCCTGAGAAGGGAATGAACAGTGAGAAACACTGGGAAGAAGACGTTCAGTGTGCACACTTTCCTCAGCAGGAGGCCTTTTCAGAGAACTGTGGGGTTGGGTAGAAAGTTGGGAACATTGTTCTTTGCTGCCTGGGGTTCCTCTGTGGAGGGCGATGGAGAAATTCTGTCAGCGCAGCGAGATGTGAGAGAGGTGTGCACGTCTTCACAGTGTTCATACCCTGGGTTCCTCCTGGCAGGCTGATGGTGCCTCGGGTCACACCTAGGGCCTCCACTATCGTTCCTCCTTTCTGCCTCACTGGCTAGACACACTTGTCGCCTACCTTTTGGCCCCGCCTCTCCTTTAGGACCTGGTATGCCTTGAGGTCCTATGTCCCCCTGCTTCCCAGAGGGGCCTTCGTTCCCGGCTGGTCCAGGCACACCCGGAGGTCCTGGAGGTCCTGGCAGAAAAGGAACAGCGCTGTCAGTGACACTGACTCCTTTGGCAGTGGGAGTGGATAAGATGAATGTCAGAGCAGAGGTCAAAGAGGCAATAGTCCATCCTGAAATGACACAGTGTCTTCCTCAGAGCATCCTCCTTCCCTAATCCTGGGACAGGTTCTGTGCCTGCCACTTGCATAGCCTTGTGATAGAAGCAGTAGCTGTAGGCACCAGATAAATACCATAACCCATGGCTCACCACGTGGTCCAGAGTCTCCCTTTGGTCCAGGTTCTCCAGCAGAGCCATTGTCCCCCTTGGGTCCAACTGGACCTGCAGGGCCAGGCAACCCTGAGAGTCCCACACGTCCTGGCAAACCTATAGAAACAAAATAAATGAATCCTAAGTTAGTCCTAGGCTCAGGAGGGATCCATGTCTACAAGACAACGTCTTTGGAATTTCTTCAGCATGGACAGCCTATAGTCACACACCCTGGTCCTTTGGTGACCCACAAAATGAAAATCAGTGTCCCCACTTAGAAGAAATAAATATCCTTGGTTTGGAGGTGAATTCAAACAGCGCTTCAATCTATGAAGTGTTTTTGCCCCTGCCCCAAGGCCACTGTGTCAGCAGAAGGCATTCGGTCAGCACCGATTGATTAGTGACCACAGGACAAGTGTGCAGATGTATACGCACATGTATATAACTGTGTGTGCATATGTGGAGGAGTGTATTGGGAGTGTGTATCAGGAGAGTCAACTCTTTTACTTTTTTGAATCAGAAACTGCACTACATAGATAACTTGTTTATTATAATAACAATAAACTTGTTATCTACTTGATCCTTGTTTATTTGTGAAGAGCCCCCGATTCACAAGGAGTAAAAACTTAAAAAGAAGAGTCCACAAAAACGAAAATTAAACAAACAAAAAAAGCCGAGTGGTTGTGGTGCATGTTTTTAATCCCAGCATTCAGTAGGCAGAGGCAGGCAGATCTCTGTGAGTTCGAGGCCAGGCTGGTCTACAAGAGCTAGTTCCAGGATAGGCTTCAAGGCTACAGAGAAACCCTGTCTTGAAAAACAAAAACAAAAAAAAATAGAGTATAGCAAACTAAAGAGCCTCTGTGCAGTGAAGGAAATACCCAACAGAGTGCAGAGACAACTTACCAAGTGGGACAAAGCACTTGTCAAATATTCACATAGCAATGCTTTAATAGCCAGAATATTTAAGGGATTAAGAAAAGCAACAATAAAAAGCAAATGATCTAATTTAAAAATGCACAGATTATCTGAGCAGACTGCTCGGGAGAAGAAATAAAACGTCAGAAAGTAATTTTAAAAACTGTCAATTTCGGTAGCCATCAAGGAAATGTAAATACAAACTATAATCAAATTGCATTTTGCCCAGTTAGAATGGCTATTATAAAACAAAACAAAATAAGCCACGTGTTTTCCTAGCATTCAGCAGGAAGATCTCTGAGGCCAGTCTGGTATACATAGTGAGTTCCAGGTCAGCCAGGGCTACAGTGAGAACGTGTCTCTAAATCTCAAAAGCCCATGTATATGTGTGTGTGTGTATTACACACAGAAACAACAATTGGTAGGGATGATATAGAAAAAAGGGAAGTTTCATACAGGAAGATGAATGAGTATAGCTGTTGTGGAAAATTGTGTTAGGTTTTCTAAAGAAAAACTAAAGCTATAATTACCATATGATCCTACTATTCCTGGGAATATATTCAAGTGATATGAAATCAAAAAACCAAACAGACACCTACACACCCATATTTGCTGAAGCATCATTCACCACTGCTAAGATATGCCGACAGCCTAGATGCCTACTGATGGATGAATGGGTAAAGCAGTATATATCCACAGTGGGATATTATCCAGGCATAAAGAAGAATAAAATCCTATCATTTTTAGAAAAGTAGGTAGTTGTAAGGAACATCATATAAAGCCAGACACAGAAAGACAAGTGTCCCATGTTCTGTTTTCTGTGGATACTAAAATATACACCAATCTGAATGTGAAACAGTGATTAGTCAAAGCAGTTGGCAAGGGAGGGCACTGATAAGAGGGGTCAGGTTGGACTACTTTGCATGTGTGGTCTTCAAGAGACTCATAACAAACCATGGGACACGGGTAGCTATCAAAGAAGAGAAAGTGTGATATAGCTCTCTCCTCACAGAGTACTGCCCTGCACACCGTGTTCTCATAGGAAGCAGGATTAGAAGAGATTTAGCAACTAAACCCTATGTAGATTATTTTAGAGAGAAAACAGATAAAATTCCAGGTTTGAAGACTGCTCTCTGACAAGAGAGGCCTTCCCAGGGCTATAAGTGCAGGTGGGATGGGGTGTCTGTGAATTTTCTGGAAGAACTGGCCTTTGTATTTCTTCCCATGTGTGAAGTACTGGGGGTTACGTGACTGAGCCACATCACATGTGTACCCAGCTAAGACAGACATACCTTGACTCAGGTGGAACATCTCCTAGTCTGAGGGCTCACTACAGTGACCCCAGATCTAATCCTTGGCCCCCTGCCACATCTCCTGCTCAAGAGTGTCTCTTCTTAAGCCCCAACTGACCCTTTCAACAAATTCTGGGCTTCAAAATCTACCAAATAGATTAGTCATCAAAAGTGCTCAGGGAGTGAGTGACTGGAATGGAGGAGCCAGAAAAATAAAAAAGCCATTCTTTGCCTTAAGCTCTTCCTCTGCCTGTGGCCCAACCAAAGATCAGGAAAAATACGTGGATAAGGCCAGTTCTTGGACCTGGAGAGGGGGAGGGGAATGGGGGAGAAAAGGGATACCCTAACATTCACTCTGAGGGGGGAAGGGAGCGGGGGAAAAAAGGGATCTCCTAACACTCAATCCATGGCTCCTTCTGGGATCAAGAGAGACATGGGAATCTCTGAGAGCACAAGCTGCCACTCTGAGTCCCTGTCCTCTTGTTTGGTTCTCCCCTGTGGCTCTCAAACCCAGCCTGTTCACACCTTTGCGTCTTACCTGAGACATATCTTCTTTTACCCTTTACCCATGTATCCTAGAGACAGTATTTATTCTAAGTATCATGGTCTTTCTTCCAACTAAAAGCAAACTGGGGTACGAAACAAGGTACTCGACCCCATCAAAACTTCACCAACACAGTCAGCAGGAAAATAAAACTTTACCCAGAAGACTCAATATAAAAGAAAATCTTTGGTTCCATCATTTGTCAAGGGTCATTTGGCACATACTATTTATTCTCACTTGGAGCTAGGCACACTGAGACTGTGGCACTGAGTAGGTGTCTCTGACTGTCGTGGTCACAGAGAAGCAGCTAGTAGTCAAGATCTCTCTAGTGAAGAAGCCTGTGTTCTTTCAATTTTAACATCCCCCACTTTATGTGTTAAAGAAATTTGGTATGTTCCCTGTGGCTTTTGAAAGGATTAAATGGATTTTCAAGTGGGAACCCATCCAAGCATAGATTTGTACAAAAAAACAAACAAACAAACAAACAAACAAACAAACAAAACCCCATGAATTCCAATCTTCCCTTGTAATGTCTTAGGCAGCTCCTGCCACTAAGATCTGTTTATAGGACTGTGGATGTATGTAGTGGAGTTTAAATATTAAAACTCCCTGTCACATAGGCACCATTTCATCAAAGTGAAGAATTGCTAACTGCTGGAACAGGGCCCAAGAGGTTAACCCCAATATAAGTGGTTTACCCATTCTTGGGACAAGCAGAATCCGGAGATCCCAAGGGAGGCATCAGGTCGGCTGAGTGATGGGAGGAAACACATGTTGCATCCAAAAAGAACATGTGTTTGGCAGGTAGCCTGGACACCAGGGGGAAAGTCACTCCCTGGAAGGGAGAAGCTCACATCCAGGTTCATCACAGAGCACCTGAGGTTGGGTCCCATTCTGGCCCCTTCCCCACCCCACCAGACTGAGCCCCTGATCCTAGCTCTACCTGGATCACCCTTCTCGCCCCGAGGACCCTCTCTCCCATCCCGTCCATCACGGCCAGGCAGGCCATTCTCTGCGGGGCTGCACATGACAAGGGTGCAGGCGTTGGGTACGGATCTCTGCGAGAGGGTCTTCACTTCTGCTCCCTCGTTCCCCGGGAGCCGCACGAGCAGGACAAGCATGGACAGGAGGTGCAGCATGGCCTGCAGGGATGAGAAGGTGAAAAGACATGATGATGATTCTAGAATGTGGGTTAGGTAGTGACCGATGAGTCTGGAGATGAGAATCTCTATGCCCACATCTTCATCAAAGACGAGGGTCCAGGGCAGTAAGACAGTAAGACTCCAAAAGCAGTCTATGGTGTAGGAACATATTCTGACTTTGAGGGAGTGAATTGTTTGACTAGCACTCTGGTAAGGGTTGACAATACTGTCCATCTATCTCCTGGAGCCTGATGAGAATATTGCCTGTGTCTAATGGTCCTCACTGATGACTATCCTCATTCCTGGTACCCTTTCTCTCTGTCTGTATGCTAGGACAACTGGCTCACCTCAGTTGAGGCCATGTCAGCATCATCTCCCTTGCTACCAGGATCGGCACCAACAGCTCACAGCACTGGCCCATAAATACACCTGCATCTGAATGCCTCTAGATGCTTGCACTGAGCTCAGACTGGAGTGTGGCTGAGCGCTTGCCAGGCAATTTAGTATTCCTGGATCAGGCACCAAGTCCATGAGGTAGATTCCAGAAGAAACACAACTAAAGAGTTTTGGGGAGGTGGTGGCACACGACTTTAATCCTAAACTTGAGAGGCAGAGGCAGGCGAATCTCTGCGAGTTGGAAGCTAGCCTGATTTACAGAGCTAGTTCCAGGACAGTCAGGGCTACACAAAGAAACACTATCTTGAAAAACAAAACAAAAAAGAGAAAGTTTCATAGATATTAAGTTAACAGCTGGAGAGACCCAAAGACACCCAGAAGCTTACTGGACCATCTGGGGGAGGGATCCAGGGAAAGCCTTTTGTGTGAGAAGGGGGCATTCTAGGTAGTCTATTCAGTTTGGGGAGCTCTTTGAGGAGGAGCCGAGAGAAGATATTCATAAAAGTATCCAGTCACTGTTTGAAAGGGCCTTAGTCTGGCTAAGAACTGGCCACAGGGTGCAAGACTTTGGTCACTCTCTACACAGAGTACCTGTGCCACCTTTCTCAAGAGCTTATCTTCCCAACATGACCAGTACTTTTCAGTAGCGCCACAAGGCTGGCAACTATGTATGTCTTCATGCCAGAGGACAGTCAAGATCCAAACTTTGATAACGTCTTTCCTTCCAGAGAAGAAGGACCCAGTGGGTAGCACACTGGCTGGGCACAAAGACAAAGGGGCCGGAACAATGAAGCGGTTCACCATAACCAGGGGCGGGGTACATGAATGCCAGGGCTTCCCCACCAGAGAGGCACTTCTCCACCTGCTGGTGGTTATGGGCTAAAACTTCTGTCCATTTCTCATTCACAATTTCCTCAGGTCTCTTAGGACTCCCTAGAAATACCTTATTGAACTCATGGGCCCCTTCATTACCCTTGTTTTAGCAGAGGCTCTTTTATCAGTATTGAAAGATAAGCCCAAGTCAGAGCAAAGTCACTGTTTCCTGACCTGGAGCCACCTTAACTTTAGGGTCCTGTGCCTCATTCTGAGGAAGAGTCAAGACAAAAGGCCTTCTGTTTTACCACCTGTTCGTCTGAGCATGAAGGAAGCCTGCAGGGAGCAGACCCACAGGCTTTCAGGTCCCAGACAGGCAAGTTAGCTGGGAAGAGAATGGAGTGTGTAGAACCAGAGGGCAGAGCGCCCAGTCTGTGTGCTTCCACAGTAAGAGTTCACTGAGGACAGTGGTTCTTCCTAATGCTGGGTGGCAGCGAATCAGAGACCCTGTGCAGTTAAGTTTGTTGTTTCACAGACACTTGAGGCTAAGAGAGAACTCCGTTTGTCCCTGCTTTCTGTGCTATTGACAGCATCCTGAGTTAAAAATCCCAGCCTAGTTCTGGTGTCCACTGTCTGGTGGTGCATACCTTTGATCCCAGCACTTCGGGAGGCAGAGGCAGGTGTATCTCTGTGAGTTCGAGGACAGCCTGGTGTACAAAGCAAGTTCCAGGACAGTCAGGACTGTTACACAGAGAAACTCTGTCTCGGAAAACCAAAAGAAGAGAAAAGAAAAAAGAAATTGGGAACCAAGACATGATTCCACCTGTATTCTCCACACCATCTGTGTAGTTCTGCGGAGACATTGCATAGTATTAATCCATATTAACCCCACTCAGAAAGCAAATCTTCCACCAAACCAAGGAAGGTGACCTAAAAAAAGAGGATATTTTACCCTCACTATGTCCTCCACCTCAACCCCCCACAACTCCTGATCTAGAACCAAACCTAGATCCCCCTTACTCAAAATCAGTGGGATAAATAGCCCAGTTGGACAAAAGGGTATCTACAGCAGATAGGGAAAGGAAATGGGAGGCAGGGACACTCACAGATCGCTTCTCCTTGGCCCCAGGCGCTCCAGGCAAATGAACCTCTGTTTGCCGTCACCTACTATTTATTCATTCCAGCCCTGTAGTAGAGCCGCCCAGCGTTGGTCTTCTGAGAAAAGTGACACACACACACACACACTTTCTTCCTGTTGGACTCACTCACACTTACCCCCACCTACACTCGGGAAACCCCCAATATACCCAACACTAAGCACACCTGGCCCCTTAGTGCTGCACTGCTGGCCAGGGACCTCTCTACCCTGTGGGAGTGAGGAGGCACCCCAGTCTGGCTATTGGAGATCTCTAAGAATCTGATGTCCAGAGCCCATCCAGGTTGCACAATAGCCTATAATGATTGAAGAAAAAGGAAACCTTTATGTTCATATCTGCGTTTCTCCAAAGGTAGGATTCGCGGCTGTGTCTACTTCCCCTTTCATTTCAAAAGCCTTGCCTAGATATTGAGAAAGAGCTGGGAGCTGCTTGGCATAGCCAGGAAGGGTGGGGCAGACAAGGAGGCTGCAAAAGGCAGCCACCTATGCAGACTGTAGTTCAGGCAGCTGCAGCTTGGAAGTGAACACTATAGGAGCTCATCACTTATCCTCCATGGTATGAACTTCCCTTAGCAAGTGGCATCTTGGTCCTTGTTCTTCTATCTTCCTAGCAAGTATTTGACTTGTACATTGCCCTGGTTGTTAGAGGGAAGCCTCGAAATCTTGTTATTCAGTGGTAACTCTTGACTTGGCAGCTCTTAACTTCCAGGTTCTATTGGGAAGTTGTCAATTCTACTGTCATTGCTATATTTGCTTCCAGATTCCCATGACTGAAGATTTTTTTCAAATCTCCTTCTGCCCCCCCCCCCCCCACCCATCTGCCTTTTCAAGTTCCACACATCTCAAGGTCAAGGTGGCTGTATCTCCTGATCCTAGAGTTAGGGCAATATTTTTCTTTTGAATACAAACTCCATTTGGATATTTATATCTTTAGGAGAAAACAAGGAATTACAACAGACACAGCTGAAGGACACACACACAACACACATAACCACAGAGACAGCAAGCCTGCCAGGACCATTTACTGGTGGCTACAGCCTCTCTGGAAGGGAAAGGGAGTCAATACAGTTGACAGTGAAGACAATGATGGCAGTATCCGCAGCACTAAGATTATCAGTAATTCTCTGAAGTGCTTGCATTTCTACAACCAACTAACTCAATCCCTCCCACAGTCATTCCAGGCAAACTGGCCAGTGACTCTGAACTCCATGTTGGTCAGGAAGGTGCTCTATGGAAAGCAGCCACACTGTAAAAACTAAGATTTTTTTTCCTCCAAACTGAAGTGCTGGTACTCAGACCCAGGAGGGTATTGAAAACTCCCAGAGAATGGCGTTGGCCTCCCCTTATCAGGTGCTGTCTCGGTCTGGAATTTTATTATCTCTGAGAACCTGGTCAGGGGCATCGTTTTTCACTTATTACCTAACTTGTTTCCTCTTACAATTTGTGGGCTTGCTTATGTGTTGTACAGTGCCTACACTTCACTTATTTACCCCCAGTACATGCAGTTTGTAGGATGCATGTTTCCATGTCAGAAAATCAAAATGTAAGCCATGAAAAACAGAAGTTGACATCACGGTGTTGACTTTCTGACGTCAGTCCTTGACAGGATGCACTGAGAGGGGGCATGAAGTGATTTTGTGGTGCTTTTTGCCAAAACTGGATAACCTCCGTGTAAACTTGATGAAATTCCAGACAAGCCCATGTTGCGGAACAAAGCAAAATAACGCATTACCTGGGTCAAAGCCATGAGCTGTGCCAAGTGAAACTGCTAAGGAAACATAATGACTAAAGAGGATGTGGATTACAGACTGTACCCTAGACCTGAATGATAACATTAGAGGGGAAACTTATAGAACTTGAATAAAGGTCTTGAATTCCTGAATAGCACTGGACCCAGGTCAGTTTCCTGAATGAGGTCATTGTACTGTTGTTGTGAGACACTATGGAAAATGTAAAGAGTCAGCACCACATACTGAAGAAAAAGTGCTGCCTTCCCTCGGACTGGTCATCAGCTCCACTCACCATTCTACTGAAGGTCCTTGCCACTTTGACAAGACATGGAAACAGAAAAATGCAGTCGGCTAGTAGTGGTGCACACCTTTAATCCCAGCTCTTGGCAGGCAGAGGCAGACAGATCTCTGTGAGTTTGAGGCTAGCCTGGTCTACGAAGCTAGTTCCAGGACAGCCAGGACTACACAGAAATCATAAAACAACAACAACAAAACCCCAAACCAAACAAACCAAACACCACCAAACAAACAAACAGCAACAAAACTGGCCAAAAAAAAAAAAAAAAGAAAAGAAAAGAAAAAGAAAAGAAAAACACACTGGATTAGAAAGAGATGAAACTGTCTTTGCTTGTCACTGAGTGTAGGAAGTCGTGAAGATCATGCTTCAGTTAACAGGTTCCTGAGGTTACCACATTCAAGGCCAGCATACAAAAAGCAATTACATTTACATGTTACACAATTTAATAACAAGTATTTGAATTAAAGCTCTGCACACTGGAATTCTATAAAAACCTATATGCATATTTTGAATGTTAAATAGGTATATTTGTGAACTAAAGGACTTGACATTGGTAACTCAGTTTTCCATGAATTGAACCACAGAGTCAATGCAACACTTATCAGTATCTCAGCCAATTTTATGTAGAAACTAACCTGACTCTACAATTCATATGAAAGTACAGACGGTCTAGAACATACTTTAAAAGATATGTTTGTTTGTATCTGTGTGTTTTGGTATGTCTTTTCGCTTTTTTTCTTTTTCTCCCCCCTCCCTCCCTCCCTCCGTCCGTCTCTCTCTCTCTCTCTCTCTTTCTTTCTTTCTCTTCTGCTTCCTTTCTTTCTTCTTTCTTTCCTTTCTTTCTTTCTATCTCTTTCTTTCCCTTTCTTTCTTTCCCTTCTTTCTTTCTTTCTTTCTTTCTTTCTTTCTTTCTTTCTTTCTTTCTCTTTCGCTTCCTTCTCTCTCTCTCCTCTCTTTCTTCATTTCTTTTTCTTTTTTTTTTTTGAAACAAGGTTTTACTGTATAGCTGAAGCTATCCTGAAATTCACTGTGTAACCCAAACTGGTTTCAAGCTTGAAAACCTCTTGCTACAGTCTTCCACATGCGTGTCTGAGCTCCTGTGATAATCTTGAGATTCGCTATAAAGCTAGAGTAATTAGAATGGAGAGTTTGCTGAGGATATCTATGAAGTTAGTGGAATACACAGTCCCCAAACAGACCCCAAACATGTATCATTCATTTGGTCTTATTCAAAGGTGGCAAGATACCTTGGTAATTGATACTAGAACACCAGATGGGAAATGAGTGCAAAAAATGTAATCAACTTTTATTTACTCTACAAGAACATTAACTTGAGCTGGATTATAGTTTTTAGGTGTATTAATTGCTCATCCTGGAAACAACTCAAGCCACAATTCATGAACAGATAAATTGTTATTTATAGAAGCAATGGAATGTTGCTCAGCAATGTCAGAAGGACAAACTACTGGCAGGTACAACATGAGTAACCTCAGAAACAGGCTGAGTAAAATGCACAGCACAATGAATCCCATCATTTTGTAATTAGCTAAACTAATAAGCAAGAGGATATTCTGCATAATGATATGAACCTCTGGAAACAGACAGGCCTTTTTTACTAAGAGAACAGAATAGTGGGTCTGGGCCTCAGAGCTTCAGGACAGTACTGTAAAGGGATGATCCAGATGGATGTGGTGATGGTTACAGAAGTTTTCTCAGGTCTCATGTACATATAGCTATATATTAGTCAATTCTCTTCAAACAGTACATTCCTTATGGTCACATTTTCTGCATATGAATTATACCCAATAACGTTAATATTTAATACTTAACCATAGGCCAGGCAGGGTGGCACGTACCTATGGTGGCAGCATTCAGAAGTCTGAGGCAGGGAGATCAAAAGGTGGAGGTCAGCCTGGGCTACAGGGCAAGGTTCTGTGAACAGTAAGGGTTGAGGATGTACTCAGTGGTAGAGTCAGTCCTTGCTTTGCATCTTGGATTTGGCTCTTAATATTACAAACGTGAATAAAGATTATGATTTTTTATATCTTCATTTTGTAATAATCATGGTATCACCTGAGCAATCTGTTCCAAAGCTCATCTTCTAAGCTCAGCATTCCACACCCATTGCCTAAAGGACATAGTTAGTTAGGGGCCGTGGTTAGGGGCCAGCTCAGTGGTTAAGCGCTCTTATTGATCTTCAGAGGCCCGTAGTTTGCTTTTAGGTTTCCAAGTTAGATGAGTGGCAACTCCTTGTGACTCTAGCTCCTAGGGACACAACACACACACACACACACACACACACACACACACACACACTTGCATTTTTTTAAAGAGGCCATAGTGGCATTTCATTTTTATTTTAATAAATAAAGCTTGCCTGAAGACCAGAGAGTAAAACAGCCCAACTGGGCAGTCTTACAGACCAGGCAGTGGTAACACACACTTTCTGATTCTCAGTCAAGTTTTATTTACATAGAAAAGGTGATATGATGTGAGATTCCTCTCTGTGTGCTATGAATATGTTTAATTACCATTGGTTAGCACAGAAGCTGCTTTAGCCTAATGGCAGCACAGAATATAGTGAGGCTGGAAAGCTAAACTGAATGCAGGGAGAAAGAAGATGGAGGCAGGCAGATGCCTTGTAGTTGTTGAAGGAGAAAGATGCTGGAGCCTTACTAGAAAATCACGAGCTTTGTGGCAAAATATAAATAATAGAAATTTGTTAATTTAATATATAAGAGCTAGCTAGGAATATGCTTGAGCCATTAGCTTGTCTGTGATTGTTTTGGTCTGAGTGGCCAGAAATTGTAAAAGCAGTCTCCATTTACATAATGGTGCCCAAGCATTTGGGGCTATTGCTGCAATAGGTCACGACCCCATAAATTCACCATGTGGCCCTCTACCCACTTCAGGTCCGGGTGCTTGTATGTTCACTTGGGGCCAGGAGGAAAGTAAGTGAGAGCATTCCTGCCACTCTGTACTCTGCCTGGGCAAGCAGCTTGATGGGTCTGCTAGGCATGCTGAGGCAGGAGAACATGGCATATTCCTGCCACCATACACAGAAATATTTCCAGGCTGTGCAGTGTGCTGCATGGCACATTTAGCTTTTACTCAGACAGAAAAAGGTTCATGTGCTGCATTCTGCTTCCCAGAATTGAGGTGGTAAGCAAAGCTCCCACCTTCTGG